GGGGGGGTTGAGGCGGAGTAGGAAAAGAGAGGATAGGCATCGATTCAGTGGGTAGTTGCGCTACCATCTGAACTACTTCTGCGTATTTCCCATGCTCTCAGATGGTGTAATGTGGATAATTTTTGATTTAAGCATTTAGACTTAATTTTGTCCAATTTCTACTTGTTCAATCTGTATGTAACTGTCCGTTCTTTTTGGGCATCCCGTTTTCTGAAAATACCGCGAATCGTTAAAACTGCATTACTGGATGCTGTAGTAGATAAAATGAGCTGTCGAATATTGTATGTAAGATTTGGATCGTGTGTATGCGCTCAGACATGAAACTGTTGATTAGAATGTGGCTTAGGTCACTGAAGCTTTGCAGAGCCAGTAAAGCTCGATGCGGCATTTTTGAGCACCTCAGGAAGATCTTCGTGTTTTTGCTAATTTCTTGCTTCAGTCCAGCTTGAAATTGCCGAAATTTTCCAGTCAGTCATCATCAGTCTCTCCTGGAAACATTTTTTGGTGCCATTAGTACATACGAAGTGAAGACCTGCTTTGAAGGGCGTGTGCAACAAATCAATTCAAAAAGTCATGTTTCAGGAAAAAGAATCGGAAGCACGCAATCAGCAGTATGCATATTTCGAAGCAATATTTTGTGGCCGCGAGGGTGAAACTGCCTTACACGATACTCGCATCTCGGTGCTTATCAACCTGTGCTCATTGGCCGTACAATATCCGTGCTACTCTGTGCTCAATCATACCTCCCAGTGGCTGCACAAAGTTCGTTCTTTTTTGATTTCGAACTGATTTAGTAGCTTGCACATCGCTTTTTTTTGTGAACTATAGAATTTTTTTTGGATAGTTTCTGAGAAACAGTTTTTCCCTGATCACTTCAGTGGCATTTCAGATTGGTAGCGGCAAATCGTATGCACAGAAATTTGTCTCGAAACTTGTCGAGCACTATATTCTCGTCAGCAATGATTCAGACCTGGTTAGTTATTTTTTCCACCGCTTAATGGAGAGCACCATATCTTATGGCTTAAGTTTTCATCTTTTTTCTCGTCTTCTTCAATAGCTCAACTTACAGCGTTTCCATTCTGCTTGATCGGAGCAAGCCACATCGATAGCATTCTGTTGAGGAGCTCAACAGCTCTTTCCATTCGTGGAATATTTTTTAAACATAATTCGGTTAAAATATTTTTACTTCTGCAGTAGTTACGCTGAATTGTATCACAGAATGTGTGCTTGTTTTGTTGCTGTATGATGGATCAGCTGCTGTTTATGCTATGAATTTCCATCTATACAGCTGCAACTTCTCCACTTGCTATGACCAGTTGATGATCCTGATGCTCTTGTTGTCTCTTGAGAGAGAATTACTGGTGCATTGGTTGTACTGACAAAAACACTTTGGGAAGGCTGGCCTTTGTTGCTTTTTCATTAGAGTTACAAATCAAATTTTGCAAATTTCAGTTGCTAATGTTTCATTTAAGCCCAACGATTTGTTTCCGCTGGCCGAAGAAGTGCCCGAATTTGCGTCTTATTTTATTGCCTACTCGGTGATGAAAGAATCTCTGCGCTTACCACTTTTCAATGTTCTGAATCACTGGCTCTCAGGCCGTCGTGGGAATTTGATTTTGGAATATATCAAAGAAACTCCAGCTATCACGCAACACTTTGCTACAGTTGTTAGTTGTTCTTTTCTCACTATGCTTTTTCGCTTTAGCTTCCTGTGTTTGTTTTCTTTTCACTTTACTCACTTTTATTATTGAGCCGTTTTGGGCAATAAATGTTAGGGACTTTTTTTTACTGACCGCTATTAATTTTCAATCAAATCCAGCTTTTCCCGCGTTATTGACTGTTCCGAAGAATCAGTTTTGGTATTCACAGACTCATCCAGAAATCACTTCTAGAAATTCGACAGCTAGAAATAGTGGCATTTTAATGCTTCCAAGGAAATTATGCTCAGGAAATTGCATTTTTATGAGGTTGCTCAGCACAGTCTTCATAAGCACTGCTTGTGCTGCATCACCCCTCTGATAGCAAATTTATTGCGGACAGTAAGCCTGAGCGTAAGTTTAAGCAGCATTTGCAATTACATTTCTGTGTTGTGAAGGCAATTTACAGACATTCTCCTACATGGTTGTTTTTGACTGTATCAGTGGCGGTGCTTACAAGAATCCATTACATGGCTTTACAGCGATGCTTTATTCCGATTGGAACATCTTACCTGCTTTGGATATCCGTCTGGCACTTGAGGTTTAACTTTTTGAGGTTCTATGTAAGCACACTGTACTGTTTCCTGCATTCAGATTAGTGCTCTAAATCAGTGTAGAAATTTTATGCAAAAAACACATGGATGTTATTGAGACTTGAGTGTTTTTAATGTAATGACAATAATAATAGTAATCTTGTTCCTCTGTATTTCGCTTTTCAAGCAGCACTTTTTAGCTCACGATTGCGATTAGTGAGATAACAGTGATGCAATTTAGTCTTCTCGGTATCTTAAACCGAGTTGGCCATGTTGTTTTAAATTGGACCGTGCTAAAATGAGGGTATCGGTTGCGGGGAAGCATGACACATAGCTTTCGGGACCTGCTTCCCAATTTGCAAGCCACAAGTTACGGGTTTTTAGTGACGCACATTGATGTTATTAACGAGTAATCTGATATGACCATAAACGACCGGAAATCTGAAATAGTACTGCGCTTCAGATGTTATCGAAGGATCCCGAGTATTCAGCATTCGATACGGAGACGTTGCGCTATCACATTCATCTTGCCAAACTTGCCCGTGTCATTTCCGAAAAAGTTCTTGTCGTTTTTTTCACGAGATCCGAATCCAGTGCTTCTTTTAGAGCTCTAAAGGATGATCTTTTAACAGCTTAGAGCTGCTGGTCCAATTTAGTCAGCCCCATTTGATGCGAATTCAATGCCCTCATTTTTCCGGAATCCTTCGAATCTTGAATTCCGAGTATCACTCCTTGCAGGAGAGGACGTGGTAAGAAGGCTTGTCGCCGTTTTGGGTATTTAAGCTTGTTAAATGATTTCTCTTATGAAACATATCTCACTTTTCTTGTTGTCTCTTACACTGTGCATTATGTCCATTTTGTTTTTCATTTCAATAAAATATTATTTTAA